TTATTTTATTTTATTTTATTTTATTTTATTTTATTTATTTTATTTATTAAATTTATTTGCCGCCATCTCAATTTGAAGCAATTCTGGGACTCTATAGCTTTCGGTAGCTGCAGTCAAGATCATCTGAAAAGCACCAGGTTGCCTACTGTTGCGTTAGCCCCATCCTATATTAGCACCCCAGCAAAAAATTCAGTATTCTATTGTGTGTTATGGCCAGCTGTAATTGCTTAGTTAGAAATAACCACTGGCTGATTTCACTCAACACATTAATCCCCCACTGTAGGTTGAGAAAATATTGCTGTGTTCATGTAATATGCAACATCCTACTGGTAGTATGGCTTAATGTGAACGCATGATGCACAGAGCATGCTCAAGCAATGCATAATAATGGCCTGGTCCCATTCTAGCCTAATCTAGCATGCTGTACAAACTTAGCCACTGTGATTGATATTGGAAATGTTGACGCCTGTTGGTCCTTGCTCTCTTCTGGGGTCCATTTTATGATAGACACAGGCAGACAACATGATGCCTCCAAAGATTTTGAACCTTGAACCTCATTGGCCACCATCCGCATGGCATAGGACTGGGAGCATCTCCAGTTAAGAAACATTTGGAAGACCCCAGCCTTTCTAACACTGAAATAAGCAGATTGCTTAATCTTGAGGCAGAGCCCTTGTCATCTGTTTATAAGCTCCTAACCCTCTTTTTCGGTAGCTGTGATGTAGGTGTATGAAACCAAAAGTGAACTGGGACTGACCCTAATATGGAAAAAAAAGAACTTCCCCATCTCTGTCTGTAGTTTCAACTGCTGATGTATAAAAATCTAGGCTGGGTCTAACGGAACGTTTTTCAAGAAAAGGATTGGAGCAGAGCCTCTCTGATAATATCTTAAGAGTGATGGACACATGAACATATATTGTAACATTTTATTTCTATTTCTTCTGCCGTGTAATACGGTTTCTTATTCAGACCTGAGACCTTAACTGAGGCTGGTCCTTCATTTGTTCTTTAGGCAACCTTTGCCTTTCCAGATATGTTTGAATTTTAGCCAGTGCTTTTTTTGTAAGAAAAAAGGTGCAGGAACCCACATCTTGTTAATCTTTTATTTAAAATATATATATATACAGTTCTTAACATAAATTTAATTTATTGTATTTAAGGCAAATGTTCATAGTAAATTTTACACTAATAATTAAAAAAAGATTTTCTATTCACCAACGATTTTTTAAAATAAAGAAATTATTTACCTTTCGCATGTAGTCAATCACTATACACACACCCACACATGTCAGTTGTGTAACGAAACATGATGGTCGCCGCCCGCAGTAAGCACTCAGTGCGCGACCACACGACCAGTCACAAGCCGAGCAGTGCCACAAGCTGAGCAGCACCATCACAACCAGCGCGGATGAAGTACGCATGCATCAGACTCGACACACAAGCAGCCCGCATGCACCATTTTAATGATTTTGCCACCGACCTGCTATGCTCGACAGGGTGATTCAAGTTCACGTGGACCAAACATCAAATTTTCAAAAGTTACTTTTAAAACTTGGAAAATCCATTGAAAAAAGGTGCTGGAACTCCATTCCGGTGCATTCTATAACAAAAAAAGCACTGATTTTAGCTACCAGCAGCTGTGCCCAGCTTGGCTCATAATGGGAGATGATAGCAGTATCTCAAGTTAGCCTGTCTTGCTCCCAAACATGCCCACTTATCAGCTGCTTATCACCCCAATAAGATGGTTCTAATTTTGCTTAGATCATATTCTTTTGATTTTAATATTAATGCAAACAGGAAATTCTTTGTACTTACTTGTTAAAGGTACAAGGATTAAAAAAATAACTTTATTTTTATTGATCCTACTATGATCCAGAATTCTATTAAATGTTTGCTACTATTGCAAACAGCAAAACTTCTGATTTGGTGAGGGCAAAGGATTAAATCTATCCCCCACCATTCCACAAACATTTTTTTTTAAAAAATCATAAGCACATACACTCCATTGTATAATTCATGTGACAAAAATGATATCCACTTTAGCCCCTCCTCCCAAGATGGCTGCTGATCAATACAGTTTTCTTTTTTTTTTCTCTTCCTGATGATCTGCTGATTTCACTGCTAAAGTTGATTCTTTGGCAGTGCTGCTCCCTGGTTTTAAATGGGAACACTTAGGAGTGTCCTGAGACAACTTTTGGATGATTGTGGATCCAGTGGCGAAGGGGGGGGGTCTTGAAGATTCCAATTCCCTCTGGAAGCGTATGAAGTCACTGGGCATATCCATCTTCCCGTCAAACAGTTTTGTTTTCTAAGCATGCCGGGATTTTATTTTTCACTTTTTGATCTTATTGTTTTATTTTGCTCTTTGCTTTAAAAGTTAATCAGTGGTTGAATGCTGATTTATTTCAACCCCTTGCTGGACTCTAATTGCTTTTTCTCTTTTTTTCCTCTTTGATATATGTTGTTTTGGATAATCTTTGTCCCTTCTATATGGAAAGCATGGCAACGTTCGGGGTGGTGGTGAAGAGACATTAGACTCTCACCACTGGATTCTGTATTTTTTGATTTTGCAAAATACTTGGAGATTATTTCTATTGAATTTTTCTTATAGTTTTGGATTGAAAGATAGAGGAAAATATATTTTTTGTGTTGTTCTTTATTCCCTGATTAAATTTCACAGATTAAAATGGCTGAACAGTGTCTGAAAAATGATGTCCACTTTGGACGTAAAGATAGCAGGGCATTTCACCCAACCCTTGTCGCAGGCTTTATCAAGAATCTGCAAATTTCAGCTGAAACTGCAGACAGGAAACAAACTTCTCCAATGTCTTAACTGCTGCTTGTGATAAGGACGTTGCTTGTCATTCTTTGATATGATGAATGCAGCTTATATTGAAGGCTAAACATCTAAAGCCAGTTATAAATGTACTTCACAGCACTTATCCAAACAAACCCATTTGGATCCAAATTGTGTTCTGGATTCTAACCACTGTTACTCCCAGCCACTCTGTCAGGGAAACGCTGGGATATGTAGCCAAGAAATCTGGATGTCCACAAGTTGAGGCAGATGAGTCTAAATCAGAAAAAGCCATACCAAAGTTTATAGGCGTGGGCAGACACTGCTATCATGTTGGAAGCATCTGTTATACAGATAGTTCTCGATTTACAACAGTTCATTTAATGACTGGTCAATGTTACAATGGTGCTGAAAAAAGTGACTTACGACTGTTTTCACACTTATGACCATTGCAGCATCCCCATGGTCATTAATCAAAATTCAGACACTTGGCAACTGACTCATATTTATGACGGTCGCAGTTTCCCAAGGTCATGTGATCACCTTTTGTGACCTCCTGACAAGCAAAGTCAATGCGGGAAGCCAGATTTACTTAACAACCATGTTACTAACTTAATAACTGCAGTGATTCACTTATCAACTGTGGCAAGAATGGTTGTAAAATGGGGCAAAATTCACTTAACAAACGTTTCACTTAGCAACAGAAATTTTGGGCTCAATTGTGGTCGTGCATTGAGGACTACCTGTATTTTTAACCTCAGGCTTTGATTTCCATATTATCTATCCAAATATGATTCCAGGGGAAACAGTGGAATTTGGTGCAACAAGAGTTACTAGGGAGGCAAATGACAAAAAAGGGGCTTCTTCTCTTGATCTTGGTTAGCATCCATGTCACCTGAAAGCAGCCAGTTAGCACAGAGGATAGGATAGGAAGGACAGCTGCCATATGGGTGAGCGGCCGCTAATAGATTCTCCACATCACTTTTCATTGGGAGATGCCTACTGTTAGTCATAATAGTTACATCATTATTTGCTAATTACGATTGCAAATAGTGAAGCTGATTCTGAAAAGGATCAAAGTTAATCCCAAAGGATCAATGGTGGGCCAACAAAGCCTCTTTCTTTTCATACAGTCTGTCACACACTATACTAAGCAATGAAAACTCATTATTTTTTATTTAGCTTATATTGGATGAAAAAGCACTGGAAACTTACATTTTTGGGGGTGTGTGTGTGTGTGTGATATTTTCCCTTCCTTTCTCTCTACATGGCAGTAAATCCTTGTAAAGTTTCACTTCAGAGGCTCAGAGAAATATTGGAGGTGCTACGAAGGTGCTGTGATTCCTTTCCTTCTTTAGATGCTAGTCATATATATTATTTCACTGTTTCCATACATATTATTTCACCAGCTTTGCTGCCTTGGGCCTGCTCCTCCTCAGTCTTTGAGTGGGCCTTTGAAGTCTCAACTTGAGCGCATAGCAAATTGAATACCAAAGCTATTTTCCATGAAGACAGCCCCTTTTCAGCTCCTGATAATTCCAAATATAAATTGTTTTTCTCCCATTCTTTGGTACACAGATTCAAGATTGAGGATGTGTCTGAGCAATTGGTTCAAAGACATGGCCAATTATTGCTTGCTGATTAACTAGCTATTCTGAATATCTAGGGAGATTCCCAGTCATCCAGATCATAGTTATCCCAAAGGTGCTTTTTCACAAGGCAACTGGACTTTCTTGTTTTTCTTTGAAGATGTTTCACTTCTCATCCAAGAAGCAGAGCCGAAGAAGCCTCTTGGATGAGAAGCGAAATGTCTTCAAAGAAAAACAAGAAAGTCCAGTTGCTTTGTGAAAAAAGCACCTTTAGGATAGTTATTCTGAACTGTTACATTAGCCAGTTCCTGATCTAAGAAGCAACAATAAGCAACCATATTGTTTTCCACAAAATATTATCTTGAGCTTCTCAGGGAGTGTATCTCCATTTTAATCTGGCATGTCCCAGAGTCATCAGGAGCTGGGAATAATAATGATTTTAAAAAAACAACCCAACAATGTCAGTGGTTGAATAGTCTGACCTCATTATCGGAAAAATATCAAATTGATTGGTAATTGATTCAAATGAAATCTGAATTCGGGAATTCTGCCAAACTGTGTCTATCAGTTCTTTGATTTTTGTTTTTTATTCAATTCTTAGGTTCTCACGAATCATGGAGAATTTTATTTTATGGCGGAGCCAGTTTTCTTGGGAGAGGCAACAGGCACAGACGTTGCAGATCTGCATGGTGTACTTTAGGTCTGCAACAGAAGTGGGGCAAACTTGAAGGTTTTCCTTGGAGAATACTTTCTTGTAAGGTAGGATAGCTACATGTATACTATATTCTGGAGTATTGACCCAGCCACTTGTTTCTTCCTATCTCTCTTCTCCCTAACCCAGGGGTAGGCAACCTTGGCTCTTTTATGACTCGTGGACTTCAACTCCCATAGCTGGCTCAGGATTTCTGGGAGTTGAAGTCCACGAGTCATAAAAGAGCCAAGGTTGCCTACCCTTGCCCTAACCCCTCTCTACAATTCCTATATTTCTTAGAAGGTGTATTTGCATAGCACAATATTCTCTGCAATCTTTGCTGCGCCATAATGCTGCATAAAGGTCGCCTCCTCTCCAGAACTGCACTGGGGAGAAGATGCCCATAATTTCATGTAGATACTTGCAATTCCTGATGATAAATGGCTGGTCTAGCAATGTTTCCAAGCCACTTTTATCTTCCTCTCCTTTTAGATAGATAAGATAACCTTTATTGTCATTTTTTACTGTGAGCATATTGGCACACATTAAAAATGAAATTCTGTTGCTTGCTCTCAAAAGTATACACATACATAACACATATAAACATGCTATATACAACATACTGTATGTATATACCTACACCCTTACATATAAATACATATAAATGTTAATCACCATCTTGAATACATAGCAGAAAGAGGAAACTTGAGAGTTCACAAGATTAATACTGTTTGGAACAAAACTGTGTCCGAATCTGGAAATTTAGAATTTTAGAAAAGCTTTCTTTAGAACAGTAACAACACAAAGAAGTCATAAAAATGGCATCTTCATAAATAGACTGTTTTTCCTGTTTATATGGACAATGTGTCCCAAATGATCTGGGGTGGGTGGGGGTAATGAGAAAGGCGGTAACATAATTTGCATTCAGTTTGTCGGTGGTACATGTGTCACTTCAGAAACGAAGTCTTTCACATTCCATGTCTTCTTGTTTATATTCTACAATACAAATCGACTGGAGGTGATTGGTGAAGTAATAATGTGACATATCAGGGAGACACTACTGGAAAAGGTTGCTTGGGGTTGAATGTGAGGAACTTTCAGATCTGTAGAGCAGAAGAGCTTTTAGTCTTTATTTGCTCCAGTGTTTCTCAATCTCAGCAACATTTAAGATGTGTGGGCTTCAACTCCCAGAATTCCCTAGCCAACAAGGCTGGCTGGGGAATTCTGAGTGTTGAAGTCCATGCATCTTAAAGTTGCCAAGGTTGAGAAATACTGCTTTACTCTTTGCTGCTGGAAATTGTGCAAACAACACAATGCTGTAGCCTTAATCTATGGGGTTTTTTTCCCCCTGGGAATTCAGCAATCAATGTATGTCTCTTCTCTGGATCCCTGTTCAATTTAGCTTGTAATTTCTAGCTGGGTTGGTATTAGATACAGTTTAGGTAACATGAAAAAACAGGTGAGGGAGGCAAGATACTTTTTGTTTAAGGGAAGCAAATTAAAAAACTTACCCTGGAATCCCCAGAGACAGGCTATTATAGATCACTATAGAAATTATAGGTCAGCCTTTAATATTCTATCAATGCACCCAAGGCTATACAGACCATTATTTACATTAACGAAGTGGACTATTGAGGCGGGCAATTTAGAAATAGGAAAATGACTAATGATCTAAAATTGAAAACAAATAATAGATGAATAAACATAATTTAGTAACAGTGTTCCATATGCCTCGGTGTACAGTCATGCTGACCTCATGACCCACAAAGTGTCTTCGGATAATGCTGGCTCCCTTGGATAGGAAACGGAGATAAGCATGGCCCCCTAGAGTGAGACACAACTAGGCAGGGGAAATCGTTACCTTTACCTTTACATTATTAGCTGTACAACTGCAAAGACTGGCTATTTGGACAGTAGCAGTGTGTGTGTGTGTATTGAGGACAAATCTCCTGACAGTATTCCTATAGTTTGGAAGGGATGCAGGATAAATGCTCTGCAGACTGTGCTCTGAAAATTATGAGTATTGTTCTTGCTGTTGTGAGCCACCCACAGTTCTACTCTATTATGGGGCGCATCTTGATATTTTATGTGTTTGTTTTTTGTTTTTTGTTTTGAGCTTTTCAAGCAATACAATCAATAAAAGAGACACTGTCATTTTCATGTATCAATCACCACAATCTGCAGTCTAGAAATAGTCCTGGAGAGAGGCAACTGAAAGGTGTGGATAAATCCTGAAACAGCAAATCACACCCATCTCTAAATATCCAGATTTGACCTCTCTGACTTGTCCCTCCAAACTTGTTGTTGGAACATTCATTGCTAATCAACCAGGTCAGTTCAGGATGTTTCTGAAGCAGTTGTCAGGTGTCCTATTGCTTTCCTAATATATTATCAGAGCAATTGTATAGATGTTTGTTCATAAGTAAGCCATATTCAGTGCAGGAAAACCAGATCTGCTGCTTTTGTTGAGTTCTGAAAATCCGGAACATTAAGATTGGGATATATATTTTTTAATACTTACCCACTAGGATGGGGAGAAGGAAGAGAAGGAGGAGGAAGAAGTCAATATGCATGGGATACAACTATAAATCCACAGTAGAGGGAAACTAATTTAAAATGAACAAATCTAAGATTTTGTAAAGGCTGGTTTTCTTCGTTCCTGAAAGCTACTTATGTATACCACGTATTTTTAGGTATAAATTGCAAGTGGGAGTAACAGCGTAAATTAAAAGAAAAAAAAATGCAGATAGGAGTTTCCTTCTTGTCTGTTTGCTGAAATACACACTGCAAATTCCTGTGTGTAATCTTTTCATTTTGAATTTATTCTGTTGCTCCCTCTGGTGACTTGTACATGAAGATACAGGACACTCTCTCTTTTATTAATTTTATAGCTTGAAAAGCCCAAAGCAAAGAATAAAGCCAGTGGTGGGATTTAGCTGGTTTGCACCACTTCAGCAGAACCGGTAGCTAATTTTTTGTTGCCCAGGCCCAGAATGGATGCCCAGAAGCGGCATCCACACAGAGAACCGGTCGTTCACATATTTGAACCCCACCACTGAATAAAGCTCATAAAAATTAAGATAGAACACCTTTAAACAACAACAAACCATATCAACCCCAAACCAACCCAAATTCAAAAAGTGCAAAAATAAAAATACAAAAATCAAAGAGAGAAGCAACCTAAAGTTAAGGAGAAACTTCCTGACAGTTAGAACAATTGATTGGTGGAAGTTGTGAATGCTCCAACACTGGAAGTTTTTAAGAAGAGACTGGACAACCATTTGTCTGAAATGGTATAGGATTTCCTGCCTGAGTAGGGGGTTGGACTAGAAGACCTCCATGGTCCTTTCCAACTCTATTATTATTATTATTGTTATTATTATTATTATTATTATTATTATTATTATTATTATTATTATTATTATTATTATTACTATTATTATTACTATTATTATTCGCATTGTCAGCCAGATGTTCAGACTAGATTTGGCATTTTTGTCTACCTATCGAGTCCTTCCCAAGGACCTGGGTTAGGCAGATGTGGATGTTTGATGGTATTACAGATATTGTTGCAGGATGGAAGCAGTTCCTAGTAAGGCCGCCTTTTGCAATTGACTAATGGCGAATTTGTCAACGCCAATGGTGTTCAAGTGGTGCTCCAGTTGTTTTGGGATTGCACCCAAGGCGCCTATTACTATTGCTACTACCCTTGCTTGCCTTTGCCACAGTCTTTCTATTTCTATTTGTAGGTCTTTGTATTTTGTTATTTTGTTGTTTTTATTTTTATTTTTATTTTTATTATTTTTATTTTAATACAGCAAATAATTATATCTTCTTTTTAAAAAAGTACTTCTCAATTTTTAAAATAATGAATTAAAATTTGACATATGAGAATACATTGGCTACTCTTTTCATTCCCACATTATCCACAAAATGAAGTTAAAGTGATTACCTTGGAATGAAATTGCAGTGGGATTTGGGACAAAATTCAGCAATATGAATTTTCATTAATATGAAGGCAACTTTTCCAGTTTTTTTTTTTTTTTTAGGGAATAGAGGAATCAGAAAATAATCTTGTCCCAAATTGTCTCTGCCATGGTCAATAATTGCACTCTACAACATATAATCCACAGTGTATAGCTCTAAGCACACACAATATCTGTGTAAGAACCCAATAGAGGATCTGACAGTGAGAACAATCAACCAATGGAACAGATGGCCTTCAGAAGTTGAGGGATCTTCATCACTGGATGAAGCTTTCAAGAAGAGATTGGATATGGTGTAGAGTCTCCTGCTTGGGTTATTCCATTCTAAGTTTTTTTTTTAATCAAGGCTCAATAAAACACAGAGAAAACATCTCTCAAACTTATGTGAGCCTTGATCTTACCTATGTGGTTTTATACAATATGGCTACAGTTTAAATAAGCACCAACGTTATGAGCCCCCACACAATATATTCATTTATATGTTTGAGCCTTGTGGTTGCACACTGTGACCAAAGCCCAACTGTTGGTTGCAGTTCTAAATAAAATTTATTTGTCATCTATGCCATTGAGCCCAATGTTCAGAATTACTTCTTAAGAATGTGCTGGTGCATGTTTTAGAGTACACAGAAAGCCTTGTCATTTTGTAGGATGATTTGCACATGCTCTCTTCCTAAAAACGTGCCTTTATATGCATTTTCCTGTCAAATACGTATTTTATTTTTTCCCAAATATTGTCCTGAATGTGAAGTCAATAACTATTTTCAGCTTTTTCAGAAAAGCAGCGGATCCATGCTTTGTCCACTGGAGGGAGCCATTGTATAACTCAAAATGAAACAAGCGAGCAATTTACTAGGATAAAAAAGCATTCGTAATAGCTGGTTTTGCAAGGCTTGCTCTGCTGCTTCAGGAGCTATCCCTGGCTAGCTTTACATGTGTGTGCATTCATAGCCACTTTGCTTCCCTTGGGATCCAGGCAAAAACGGTCCATCTCCATGTATAACTTTGTATGGTTGAACTGAACTCAAAGGAAGTTTTACTGTTTTATTAAAAAATACTGGTGAGAAAACAGCTGGGCTCTGAAGAGCAGCCAAGAACTTTCCTAGCAAATGTTTGCCCAGACTGAAAAATAGCAGGTCCTAGAACAGGTGCCAGAGGTGTTTGGATTCTTCTGGGTTTTTGACATTTGCTGAGAAGAGTCTGTCCAATTATTATTGCTGCAAACTGAGCCAAAATGGGTACACTTCTCAATTACAAGCATAGAAATGAATATGCATTGGTTGTTTTTGCAGTCGTGGAAGTGGAATGCATATGATATAGTGAGATAGGCTGATCCAAAACTGTTTCCAAATAGCTATTAGCTTTTCGTCACTGATTTCTTTACCCTATTTTCCCCCCAGAAAGGAGGGTCCAACCTGGTGTGCTTTAAACTAGAAAATAGTGGCTCCTGGGATTCTGTGTTATGAATGCCATGAAACTCTGCGGCAGAAGAAGTGAAATAATTAATGGGCAGTATCAGAGCCCTGAGAGCTTGATGGCTAAGCAAAAGTTGGTCACCAATTTCCCCAGTCAATGTTATTCTGTGTCTCTCTGTCTCTGTCTCTGTCTCTGTCTTGGTCTCTCTCTCTCTCTGTCTCTGTCTGTCTGTCTCTGTCTCTGTCTCTGTCTCTCTGTCTCTCTCTCTCCCTCCCTCCCTCCCTCCCCCCCCCCCCCCCCCCCCCC